TATTGAATCTCTTCATGCCATATTTTTTTTTTTTTTTTTTTTTGGTATAAATAATCAAACTCAGGACCTCGCACGTGCCAGGTAGGCGCTGTGCTGCTGGGCTATATCCCCAGCCCCTGTATTTTCAATTTTAATTAAGTTTCTATCTTATCGATACGTATAGTTCCTAAAAGCCCTATGTCTATGTTGTTTCTATATAGTTTTTTAACTGTTAAATGTCTACATTTAAACAATTTTATCTAAGAATTCTTATTAGGAGATAAAATACAGCATTGAAAAAGACTCAGATCAAAATGTACTACGCTAGCAAATTCTGATACCTCAAAGTAAATTTGTCCAACCTACTTTTTCCTCGTACCCCGCAGCAGAGTCACTGGGTGCTTCTCCCCGCATTACCCTCTCGGGGTGGCGAGAATCAGCCTCGCTGTCTCTAGCAAGTCTACACTCAGGTAAAGAAGAGCCGGGCCATCTGCCGTGTTCTACTGGACCGGGTGCAGTCAAACCAGTGACTGAGCCACGGCACCGACGAGTCCCGCGCGCAGAGCCACGGGCAATTCACTCAACACCGTGCCGCACGCGCCGCACCCACCCACAGCGTTCCTCACGACGCGACCTGACGTCCAGCTTCCCGCCCGCGCTCGACCCCACTACACGCTTCCACAGCTGCGTCCCGAGCACGCGACAGAGGAGCGGGGGTTACATTGGTTTACACCTGCTAATCCCTTTTAGGTGGTCCTACGACATCCGGAAACTTTTTATCGACTGACCGCTTCACTGCAAAGTAAGAGCTCGGTATGGGAGAAGTGAAAGTCTCACAAATGTCAGAAGAGCCGCAGCCGTACAGGCGCCCTCCACGAAGTGCTGCTTTCTCATCCAATTACTTTTATAACCGATGTAAAAGACGTTTTGACTGAGGCTGCAATAACCTAGCAAAGACAGACAGGCAGTCATTCACTTAATTCAGATCAGTAAACAACCGTTTTCTTTTCATAAAAAAAAAAAAATCTGCAGAGCCAAACAGCATCCACAAAAACCCAAACGTGTGTGCATGTTCTTGGAACCACCTGGCAATCACCTCAATTCTTCACTGTAATTTAAGCTTTCCCACTAAAAATGGCTATAGGGTGGAAAGAAATTTTTCCCTACCACCCCTCCTTTCTTCATCTCCTGATTTTCTTAGGAATGAACCGCACTTACGAACTATTATTAAGCACTCTTTCTCAAGAAGTTAAAAGGAAGTTAAAGTGCTAATTTTATAAGTTAAAAAAGTGAAACATTGCTTCTAACCAGTAAACAAAATTGTATTTACTAGATTTATTCAACAGTATAAGCCAGGCATGATGGCGCACGCTTGTAATCCTAGCACTCGGGAGGCTGAGGCAGGAGGACTGTTGCGAGTTCAAGACCAGCCTGGGCTACAAAGTGAATTCAACGCAACCTGAACGGCATAGTGAGACCCTGTCTAAAAAAGAAGAAGAAAAAAAAAAAAAAAAAAAAAAAA